GCAGAAGTAAGCAGGTAAGAATTTAGGAGCACTATGTAAGCCCACTGACCCCTTGCCTTCCTGCTTCTGCTAGTGAGCTCCGCCTCCTGCGACGTCTTCGAGACTTTCACGCCTCACCTCTGACAGTATGTAAGTCTCTATACTGTTGCTTAAGCTTCACATTGTTCCAGACTATGGAACAGAACTCTTCTCCAGGCTGAGGGACTGACCACCTCAAAAACAGCTATTTTAAGGTTAATGCACCGGAAATAAAAACACTAATAACAGAGGATCCCTTTTAATACAACGTTTCGCCAAAGGCAAGGTTTATCAGTCACCCGATAAAAACTCAGCCTTGCATCAGTTTTATATTCATGGGATAACCGCTAAACCAGTAGGCAATTCCTTGAATCAAGAGCCCTTCAGCAGTATCAAGACAACCCCTTAAGGAGACCAGTGCTGGAAGGTCACAGACCAGTCTCCATACTGTTACCTCTGTAAAAAGCTGATCAGAATCCATCTTGCTTCAATAATCCATCATCCTACAGAAAATAGTGAATTAAATGTGGGTTGAGGGGATGTTTTGAAGAGTCGAATGACATACATGCAGTGTGGAGGTGCACATAATGTTCCTTCAGTGTTGGGGAGGTGCACATGACGTACACGCAGTGGAGGAAGTGCACACGTACTAATTAAAACTGATCTCTCTTCAGTACGTCTTCCACGTGAGTCCGTCGGAACCCTTAGTCACGAGAGTCCTTGATATTGCCCCTCGAAGAACTGCTGCTGTGGGATCTGTCTCTGCTCTAAAATAACGTGCAGCTGTAGAACCTGGCTCAGGATCTATAGTGTTCCCAACTCCATTATCTCCATGAACTGCAGGACCTGGCTCACGATCTACAGTGTTCCCAACCCCCACAACTCCCAAGAACTCCAGGACCTGGCTCACGATCTACAGTGTCCCCAGCTCCCACAACTCCCAAGAACTCCAGGACCTGGCTCACGATCTACAGTGTTCCCAGCTCCCACAACTCCCAAGAACTCCAGGACCTGGCTCACGATCTACAGTGTTCCTAGCTCCCACAACTCCCAAGAACTCCAGGACCTGGCTCACGATCTACAGTGTCCCCAGCCCCCACAACTCCCAAGAACTCCAGGACCTGGCTCACGATCTACAGTGTTCCTAGCTCCCACAACTCCCAAGAACTCCAGGACCTGGCTCACGATCTACAATGTCCCCAGCTCCCACAACTCCCAAGAACTCCAGGACCTGGCTCACGATCTACAGTGTCCCCAGCTCCCACAACTCCCAAGAACTCCAGGACCAGGTGGAATACCCTACCAGGGTTCCTGTAGTGCTCCTTGACATACTAACTCCCCAGACACAGGACCTGTCTGAGCGTTCCTTGCCACAGAGCACTGCCGGGCAGGCCCTCCTCAAGGTGACAGATTATTGGGTAACTGAGGAGAGGAAAGCCAAGAATAACACGAGGCGAGGAACGTGAGACTTCACAGAATTTGTCGGTTTTCAAAACCATTTACCACATACCCGGGATGGTTGTCTGCGGATGGTCCTTCATTGTAACATCATCTCGTATAAACAGCAAAAAATGTTAAATATAATGAAAATCAAAACAACAATTATTATTAAAACTGCCGTTACAGATCTTTCATTTCTTAACCTGTAAATAACTGATTCAGTGAACCGACACGTTGATGAATCAGACACTTGGGCAGCACTTGCTTATCTTTATAATGGAAACGTTTCGCCAACCAGTGGCTTCCTCAGTCCAGTGTAGAGAAGAATGGCTGAATATCAGAAGTTTGAGGTAATCAGTCCCTCAGCTTGGAGTCGATGTCATTCATCAGTCTCATCAAGACTGATGGACTGATCACATCAACTCCAGGCTGACGGACTATTACCTCAAACTTTCGATCTTCAATCATTCTTCACTATCACTTCACTAGTATTACTACTCACACATTTACTATTACTCAATAATTACTATCACAACCACCACCACCATTACTCCATATATCGTTCAGTTATTACCTACAACACGAGAAGAACCAAGAGTAAAGGGAGGCAATAACGAAGACAAGCTCAGAGATTGCAACAAGCAGAGAGGCAGCAGTGGCAGGTCACGTTGCACAAACTTTGCACAAACTGGCAGGCGAAGGAACGAGGCTGTTGGGCTCTGTTTGTGGGGTAACAATCCTGCCACACGCGCACAATCCTGGTTCCAGCAGTTAAACCTGACTAATATATGTTACCACAGGATACCCAGGAACTGTTGAACTTAGACGGGGCATCCCATGATGTGTGTGTGTGTGTGTGTGTGTGTGTGTGAGAGAGAGAGAGAGAGAGAGAGAGAGAGAGAGAGAGAGAGAGAGAGAGAGAGAGAGAGGAGAGAGAGGAGAGAGAGAGAGAGAGAGAGAGAGAGAGAGAGAGAGAGAGAGAGACAGACAGACAGAGAGAAACTACCGCAACTGCAGCAGCAGAAGAAAAGGCAGTAAAAGAGACATACCACCACTACCACCATATCCACTACCATCACCACTTCCATTCCCGGTCACCACCACCACCACCACCACCATATCCACTACCATCACCACTTCCATTCCCGGTCGCCACCACCACCACCATATCCACTACCATCACCACTTCCATTCCTGGTCACCACCACCACCATATCCTCTACCATCACCACTTCCATTCCCGCTGTCACCACCACTACCACCATCACCACTACCATCACCACCAGAAACAATCACACCATGTTTGGATCTACTCATCACGCAGGATTGAGGTTGAATGTGGCACGTCTCAACCATCTATCGTGATGCCTCTAACACCCCCCCCCTCTCCTCTCTCTTTCACCCACCACCCCTGTACCCCCCTCTATCTCTCTCTCTCTCTCCCACCACCCCTGTACCACCTCTCTCTCACATCACCCCTGTAACATCCTCCTCTCTCACCCACCACTCCTGTAACACCCTGTCTCTCTCTCTCTCTCACTACCCCTGTAACACCCACTCACACCCACCACCCCTGTAACACCCTCACCACAGAGGGTGTCCTGGAAGCTGTATATATAATCTTGTGTTATGACCGATAACCACCTGATATACTCACTAGTAATACAATCTAAGATTTACTCCATGATGACTCAACAGTTCACACTTGACCTAACTTAGTCACATGGTCAAGGTTAAGCCCTGAGGTGATATACGGTACTAGTGGTAAGTTCAGTAATTTATTTCGGCAAACTAGCCGAAATGAATTTCGTAATGGCTTGTGGAGTGTGAGGAAAGTAATATTTTGTGAAGGGATTCAGGTGGAAGCGGTTAACCAGACTTGAGTGCTGGAGGTGGGAAGTACAATGCCTGCACTCTGAAGGAGGGTTTGGGATATTTGCTCTTTGGAGAAACATCTGAACTGTCGTATCTGCGCACCTCTGGCAAGACAGTGATAGTGTGAATGATGGTGAAAGTGTTTCTTTCTCGGGTCACTCTGCCTCGGTGGGAGACGGCCAGCGTGTTAAAAGAAACAGAAAATATCTGCTTCCAACACTTGAAGAGCCGACGCTGTTTCAAGGACCGAGTAAGTCGCTGCAGGGCTGGATGACCCTAGTGGGGTTTCCGCTTCTTTTTCATTATAATAATAATAATAATAATAATAATAATAATAATAATAATGCTAATAATAATAGAGCGAGTCGGGTGTAGCATTCTTGAGACTTTTTCTCAGTCCTCGGTTAGTGATCTAAGGTTTTTATTTTTCCTGGTAACCTTGAAGGATGTGTTGACCCTGGTGAAGGTAACCGAGCCATCAAGCAGCTGGCTTGGTCTGGGACCAAACCCAAGATTACCACTACCATTTACATGATAATTACAGGCATAACATCTTACCCTGGCAACTTACCTCTCTGCCATGATGGTGGTGTTGTGATCGTAAGGAAAAACAGTTTCCTGAGGAGTTTCTTCAGCAGATGTACAGGAGCGAACTTATGAGCCCCGACGACGGAGCAGTGAGCGTATAGTGCCGGGCCCAGGTACTAATAGCTTCCTTGATAACTAAAACACATGTGCAACACCTAAGTATCTTTACTCTGAATACACTTCACCAAGCAGTGGCTATATTAATTCAATACAGAGGTTATTTGAAGGTGTAGAACCTGGAAACAGTAGAAGGCGAGGTAATCAGTCCCTGAACCAGGATACGTTCGCCCATAGTGACCATGTCTTCAACTGCTGCACCTCGTGTAACTCCTATGTAAGCCATCATCTTCCTGCTTATGCTTGAGATTCATCAGTTGAAGACATGGTAATCAGGGACTGATTACTTCGTCTTCCACCGTCTCTAGATTCAACATCTTCTAATAACCTCTGTACTGAGTTGATGAAACCTCTGTTGATGAAGCATCATCACAATAAAGCCAGACAGGTTCATGTTCATTTAGGTTAGCCAGGACGGGTCCTGATCCGGGTCTTCTCCGTGTGGTGACCCGGCAGTGGCTCCCGAAGGAGTGTTGGAGTTGATACAAATGATGTACCGTTTACAGGGGGCAGGGGCACTGTGAGCAGTCACGTCAGGTGGTAAACCGTTTACAGTCCTATGACAGGGGCAGCCCTATGACAAAGGCAAGGTGAGTCTTCTGCAGGTCAAATGCAGTACTGTTTACAGGCCTATGACAGAAGGCTGCCCCACGACAAGGCACGGTGAACCACCCAGGTGTTGCACGTGTGCCTCAGTCATCAACTTGTCGGTACTGTGTACCATTACTGCTATACAATGATGGACTGAATGATAATGAACGTTTTTCTTTTTCGGGCCACCCTGCCTTGGTGGGAGACGGCCGGTGTGTTAATAAAAAAAATACTGCTATAATAACCTTATTACTGGAGCATGTTCAACAGCACAAGAGGAAGCCTTCAACAGATGATTTGTTCAGTAGTTCAGTAGCAATGGCACACCAGAACTGTTTTCTACACCATTAAATTTTTATAAAGGGCCACAATACAGTTTGGTAGACTGGACTTACCTGTTGTTCTGGTGATCAGCCTGGTCCAGGTTGGTGACGGGGCCCGTGGCTACGTCGACCCCCATGGAGCCGATGTCCAGGTGGGCATAGTGACGGCGTGTGCGGATACTGGATGACCTGGTCAGGTTGCACACGTGGTCCAACTCAGTATAGAGAGAGTCTGAAATAGAGAATATAGTTATTATTAACACTCAGTGGTTAGTTACTCCTGCTGACACGTCGATTAATAGTAGTGACAGGTCGATTATTGGAGCATGACAAGTCAATAACTAACCTGTGGAAACATATTGGGAGACCAAATAACTCCCAAAACGTTCCACGAAATGTTTCATAGTATATGAGCTTTACGAGCCCTTAATACACACATTTAGCGACTGTACACAATATTTTATATATTTACCCTTCCAGGAAGGCTTATGTAGGTATATACTGTAGTAACTAACGTAAATATTAATGTAGTCCTAGGAACTTAAGGTAGGATTAGGCCTTTAATATAGGCGGATATTAGCTAGGGAGACCTGGCAATCCAAAAATTCAAACGAAGAGGGAGACACCAGCTCTCAGTTGAAATTCAAACTCCGAGACGGCAAGGCCTGCCGTGTCAAACTGCTCAGATTCCTACCAATACACTTAGGCCGGAAACAACGACATCTTAAGAGGATTCCCAAAGTACTGTGGATATTCGCCTCTATCCAGGAGAACCCATAGTGAGACAAGACCTCTATTTCCTACCAGCATAGCTGGCCAACATTTCTGAGGACACGAAGGTTGAGGACGTCTGTAGGGTAACCAAACGGACAAGCGAACACCGAATAAGTCCGATATTGCAAGAGGTGTTGAGGGTAAGGGAACATAGAACTCCACACCACCAAGTGAGTACATCCTTCACTTGTGTATAGCTAGGAATTTCTTACATGACCAGTAGTAACTGGAAATATGTTGTAAGAGCCACTTGTAAGCCTGGATAATATCTCAGAGTGTCTGTGTCAACAGTACTAGCCAGGGGGGCAGCTTACAAGGGGAAAGGTCGCACAGAAATTTCTAGACTACCACTGACGAGTTGGTTTATGTCCCGCAAAAGGTTTAACTCCTGTGTTTGAATACTAATTAGTGTTTTGTTTAGGTTGATTACATCATACATATATTTATTATCATTAAGACGCGTCAAAATTATCAGGATTGTAAAAAGTCTCTTTGGGTGCAGAAAGAGGTGGCCTCGGCCCTGTAAACACTATTTTCAACAATGGGAAACAACCACCATACGACTTTCAGTCTTATTGGTTATATGAGGTTACCCTCCAGCCGGAGGGCCCAAGAAAGAAGACAGAAGAAAGAAGAAGATGAACGACACCCCCAACCGGGGGCCACAGCCGGGTCACCATATGGAGAAGACCCGGGCCGGAAGTACCGGCGAACCTCTAATGAATGAATGAATATTGGTTATAAATTCACATAGACACAAACAAGTGGTGGTGATAATGGCGGTATTCCGGTGATGGTGATAGTGATAGTAGTCAAATTATTTACAAAAGACGATACACAGGAAAAATTTATTAACATACATACTAAGGTAATGGAGAAGATATATTGGAAATGGTATAAAATACCGACAAGTTGAAGATTATAACACATGTGCCACAGTTGGGTATTTTAGTTGTTGAAACGTTTCACCTACATAGTAGACTTCTTCAGTCAAATACAGGTGAAGCAGTAGTAGTGAAATAAAGATGATGTAATCAGTCCATCAACCTTGGAAAATGAGTATTTGAGGCGGTCAGTCCCTCAGCCTGGAGAAGAGTTCAGTTCCAGTCTGGAACGTTCAAGCAATTAACAACACCACAGGTAATTAACTAACAACACAAACAATTAACAACTAACAACTCAAATAATTAACAACAACGAACAACTCAACAACTAACAACTCAAACAATTAACAACTAAGAGCATAAGTAGTAAAGAATTAAGAGGTTAACAAGAGGTCAGGACGGCAGGTGAGGAGAAGTTGCTTGGTTATTGACCCTTATAGCTTATATTTCTTCTTGATATAAAGAACAGATTTTTCAGTGTATTTGCTGATATATATAGTTGTTAGTGAGGGTGAGAGATGGACAACACTTATCTACAACAAACTTCACGAGTGAGAGGTGGACAACACTTATCTGCAACAAACTTCATGAGTGAGAGGTGGACAACACTTATCTACAACAAAACTTCATGAGTGAGAGGTGGACAACACTTATCTCAACAAACTTCATGAGTGAGAGGTGGACAACACTTATCTACAACAAACTTCACGAGTGAGAGGTGGACAACACTTATCTGCAACAAACTTCATGAGTGAGAGGTGGACAACACTTATCTACAACAAACTTCATGAGTGAGAGGTGGACAACACTTATCTACAACAAACTTCACGAGTGAGAGGTGGACAACACTTATCTGCAACAAACTTCATGAGTGAGAGGTGGACAACACTTATCTACAACAAACTTCATGAGTGAGAGGTGGACAACACTTATCTACAACAAACTTCATGAGTGAGAGGTGGACAACACTTATCTGCAACAAACTTCACGAGTGAGAGGTGGACAACACTTATCTGCAACAAACTTCATGAGTGAGAGGTGGACAACACTTATCTGCAACAAACTTCACGAGTGAGAGGTGGACAACACTTATCTGCAACAAACTTCACGAGTGAGAGGTGGACAACACTTATCTGCAACAAACTTCACGAGTGAGAGGTGGACAACACTTATCTGCAACAAACTTCAGAGTGAGAGGTGGACAACACTTATCTGCAACAAACTTCAGAGTGAGAGGTGGACAACACTTATCTGCAACAAACTTCACGAGTGAGAGGTGGACAACACTTATCTGCAACAAACTTCATGAGTGAGAGGTGGACAACACTTATCTGCAACAAACTTCACGAGTGAGAGGTGGACAACACTTATCTACAACAAACTTCACGAGTGAGAGGTGGACAACACTTATCTGCAACAAACTTCATGAGTGAGAGGTGGACAACACTTATCTGCAACAAACTTCACGAGTGAGAGGTGGACAACACTTATCTGCAACAAACTTCATGAGTGAGAGGTGGACAACACTTATCTGCAACAAACTTCATGAGTGAGAGGTGGACAACACTTATCTACAACAAACTTCATGAGTGAGAGGTGGACAACACTTATCTGCAACAAACTTCATCGAGTGAGAGGTGGACAACACTTATCTCAACAAACTTCATGAGTGAGAGGTGGACAACACTTATCTGCAACAAACTTCATGAGTGAGAGGTGGACAACACTTATCTGCAACAAACTTCATGAGTGAGAGGTGGACAACACTTATCTGCAACAAACTTCATGAGTGAGAGGTGGACAACACTTATCTAGCAACAACTTCATGAGTGAGAGGTGGACAACACTTATCTGCAACAAACTTCACGAGTGAGAGGTGGACAACACTTATCTACAACACACTTCATGAGTGAGAGGTGGACAACACACTTCAGGTGAGAGTGACAACACATCACACTTCACGAGTGAGAGGTGGACAACACTATCTACAACACACTTCACGAGTGAGAGGTGGACAACACTTATCTACAACACACTTCACGAGTGAGAGGTGGACAACACTTATCTACAACACACTTCACGAGTGAGAGGTGGACAACACACTTCACGAGTGAGAGGTGGACAACACTTATCTACAACACACTTCACGAGTGAGAGGTGGACAACACTTATCTACAACACACTTCACGAGTGAGAGGTGGAAACAATCTACACAACTTCACGAGTGAGAGGTGGACAACACTTATCTGACAACAACTTCACGAGTGAGAGGTGGACAACACTTATCTACAACAACTTCAGAGTGAGAGGTGGACAAACTACTACAACAAACTTCAGAGTGAGAGGTGGACAACACTTATCTACAACACACTTCACGAGTGAGAGGTGGACAACACTTATCTACAACACACTTCACGAGTGAGAGGTGGACAACACACTTCACGAGTGAGAGGTGGACAACACACTTCACGAGTGAGAGGTGGACAACACTTATCTACAACAAACTTCAGAGTGAGAGGTGGACAACACTTATCTCAACACCTTATCGAGTGAGAGGTGACAACACTTCATGAGTGAGAGGTGGACAACACTTATCTACAACAACTTCAGAGTGAGAGTGACAACACTTATCTACAACACACTTCAGAGTGAGAGTGACAACAAACTTCAGAGTGAGAGGTGGACAACACTTATCTACAACAAACTTCACTGAGTGAGAGGTGGACAACACTTATCTGCAACAAACTTCACGAGTGAGAGGTGGACAACACACTTAGTCAGAGTGCAAACTACTAAACACTTCATGAGTGAGAGGTGGACAACACTTATCTCAACAACTTCACGAGTGAGAGGTGGACAACACTTATCTCAACAAACTTCACGAGTGAGAGGTGGACAACACTTATCTACAACAAACTTCATGAGTGAGAGGTGGACAACACTTATCTAGCAACAAACTTCAGAGTGAGAGGTGGACAACACTTATCTACAACACACTTCACTGAGTGAGAGGTGGACAACACTTATCTCAACAAACTTCACGAGTGAGAGGTGGACAACACTTATCTCAACAACTTCAGAGTGAGAGGTGGACAACACTATCTGCAACAAACTTCATGAGTGAGAGGTGGACAACACTTATCTACAACACACTTCACGAGTGAGAGGTGGACAACACTTATCTCAACAAACTTCAGAGTGAGAGGTGGACAACACTTATCTCAACAACTTCACGAGTGAGAGGTGGACAACACTTATCTGCAACAACACACTTCATGAGTGAGAGGTGGACAACACTTATCTACAACAACACTTCATGAGTGAGAGGTGGACAACACTTATCTACAACACACTTCATGAGTGAGAGGTGGACAACACTTATCTACAACACACTTCACGAGTGAGAGGTGGACAACACTTATCTACAACACACTTCACGAGTGAGAGGTGGACAACACTTATCTGCAACAAACTTCATGAGTGAGAGGTGGACAACACTTATCTACAACAAACTTCACGAGTGAGAGGTGGACAACACTTATCTGCAACAAACTTCATGAGTGAGAGGTGGACA